TGATAAAAACATTCTTAAATTTTGAGGGAACTTTACGTGAAGCCACTGGGATTTTTTTCAAAATAATCTTAAAACTGTCATCAATTTTTATTTCTCGCGCTTAAGAGGGAACTTCTTAATAAGAGAAAGTTATGTAATGCTGGTGAATTTTCGGCAAAAAATCTCTAATAACGGGGCACTGGTAACGATAAAGGCTAGTTTATCCAGATAAATTTTGGAAAAAAAAATCCTCTAACACGTGGCGTAGCCAGAATTTATGTTTTGTGGGTCTTTGATACCGAAAAGCCGATTGACGGCAAAACGCCTGTCCATCTGTCTGTGAACAACGCTAGCGACTAAACCGTTCAGCCGATTTTGTCCAAAATTGATATTCCCCAATCGATCTGGCTGATATCGCGGCCCCTGGAATTTGAAATCGATATTTTAAATTGGGAGGTACTTTACATGAAGCCCCTAGGACATTTACTTTTTTTAAGAAGGCGTCATCTATTTTGACTAAATTTTGTAGTTGGATGGTCTGAAGGACGTTTAAGAGAATGGCGTATGTCTCGTGTTGTTTGAAAAATCTGCTTTTTTAAGAATTGAAAAAAATAAAGTTTTTTCGGCGTTTTCTTACAGTTATGAAGATACAATTTTTTCAATTATGAAGATACAACTTTAATTTAATAGAAATATCCCACATATATGCGATTATTCATAGTAAAAATGGGCTACTTTTGTTTGATTTTTGGTGGTAGATAAAGTTGTAGACATTTCTTTTCGGTATGCGCAATCAGTGAAAATATACAATTGCATGATTTTCCGCGGTCCAGAAATGAGTAAGTGGTGCTATAATTATACTACATGTAAAAGTATGCCTCAGCTATTTCTTTAAAACGTCCATTTCAAACAAAGCTCCTGTGATGCGTATCTGCATTCATTTCGATAGTCAGGAGCAGCAATTATCTCTTACTTCGACAAATGAAACAAACAGGAATACATTTGGCTGATCCAATATTTGCAGCAAATTATAGAGAAGATAGCAACGCACTGTTGCCAGTACAACGTCAAAACTGTATGCAATCCGCTTGGCGAATAATATCAATTCTTTTCAAAAACGCTTAATTCCATCCATTTCCATCCTTCCTCGTTGCAGACGAATGGCGAGCGCCTTGCTGAACGCCGACTATGCAATCTGTGACACACGGGAGTGTCACTGGCAGGCGGAGGCAGGCAGTGCGATTGCACGCACGTCGCGAAGACCTACAGATCAGCAAGCAAAGAAACACGTAACGCAAAATAGAACGTGGACGATTCAAGTAATATGTTATTTGGATGTATATCAAATGTGTGTATGTAACATGTAGCATACACAAAGAATAAGCCTAAGAATTATAACTTAACAAGCATGATGAATTAATCAAGATTTAAACTAGTGGTGCTAAAAAACACGCACTTTCTCGCCGGTACTTTTACGCAAATTACGCGAAAGTACTAAACTTTTAAAAAATTGTTCACGGCCTTATTTCAAAATCTATCTTTAAGGAATAGATTTCATTAAGGGGAAAATATGTATCTTTAATATTTTAGTTGTAGGAACACTCCGAAAAAATTGAACTTTTGCAATTTTCGTAAAATCAGGGATTTCAACGAACATGAGACCTGCACCACTCTCTTACCGTTTTTCAGGCTATCCAACTACAAAATTTAATCCAAATCAATGGCGCCAGTTTCTTTTTTCGAAACTTTTTAAAATGTTCCAAAGATTTCATGTGGAGCCCCCCTCTAAATTTATAATATCAATTTCAAATTCAAGAATCTGCAACATCAGCCAGATCGATTGGGAACTATCGATTTTGGAGAAAATCGCCTGAACGGTTTAGCCGCTAGCACTGTTCACAGACGGACAGGCAGACGTTTTGCCATCATTCCATTTTTCGGTATCAAGGACCCACATGGATTCTGTCAACAGCATTTGTTAGAGGATTTTTTTTTCTGATTTTAGCAACTGAATTTATCCACTTTTTCGTCAGGAGGACCCTGTAATAGAGTTTTTCTGCCGAAAATTTGTCGTTTTTTCGCGCAGCATTATATAGTACTCGCGCAAGTATTCTTGATACACAAGCTCCCTAGTCCTCACCCAGCGCTGAAAAGCACGGCACGTTGAGATACTTAGGTTCGACTCGGAACGGCACGAACAAATTTATAATGTTGGCAACACCCAACGCGTTCTTTCAAAACAATCGTATTTCTCGTGTCTCGCTTTGGTTAGTCAAGTTCATGACCACAGTTGGTACTCCCTTTTAAGCCGTGACGTAGCTACAGCCCTCCTCTCCTCGCAACCCTTCCCCTGCTGTGAAATATCAAGATAACTTGCGCGTATAGTAATTTTCTCTCTATTCCGTAGTGAGAAAGTAAAAAACATTTATAGGAACTACTTACTACTCACATTGTTTTGTTTTTTTTTGTTTTCATATTGATTTTTATCATGAATATGTTTCACAATTTTATATTGTAATTAAAAATACCGTAGGTAATACCAGGAATGCTTTGGATATTGTCGATTAATGCCCGACTCGCGAAACGGAGAGTGGATTTATCTGAGAATTTTCAAGCACGAGTGGTATTTAATAGGACTATTCCACAAGTGAGATTATGTCCAGCAGAGTTCCAAAATGCGCCAAATATTGAAAATAGCCGAAAGCTATGTTAAAATCACATGCGATACAGCAATCAATGCAGTATACCGCCACCTAAGGTAGATGAGTCACAGTTTATGATTGGCAGTAGGAAGAACCTCTAAGAAAAATCGGATAGAAAAGGCGATAAACTTTTTGAGATGATTGGGGCATTTTATATATATAGTTAAACTATATTGGTTTTAATTTTACTAGTGGAATAGTAAAAAAATAAACATGACCTTAATAAAAGAACTAACTAACAAGAAAAAATACCACTTGAAGAAAGAAATCTCTATTTTCAATTAGTAATAGGAATAAGCCAAAAAAATTCAAACTTTCGGAATATTCTAAAATTCAGAGAAAACAGTGAAAAAAATTACCTATGTCACCTTTATAACTGTATTTTACTCTAATCTGTCAAAAAATGTTAAAAAAATAATTGGAGACATTTTTGAGAAAATCTTGAAATTGTCGCAGGGATTTCATGTAAAGAAACTTTAAATAAGGTTTTTGAGAATCACACAACTTTGAGGCGAGCCAGATCGATCGGGGAATACCCATTTTTGAAAAAAATCTATGAACGGTTTTGGCGCTAGATAATCACAGACGGGCGAACGGATGGATGGATGTTTTGAAGAAGAAGAAGAAGAAGAAGAAGAAGAAGAAGAAGAAGAAGAAGAAGAAGAAGAAGAAGAAAAGCATTTTTCAGGTGTCAGGGGACCCCGAACCGTGAATTTCCGTTGAAATCTCGAAGTAGATTTTCCGCATCATTACGTAACTTTTCTCTGTGCTACTTATGTATATACGTGCGCCTATGAGAATGTAATAGTATGTGGGTATCGATTTGTGAGTGATTCCGGGCGCGTCAACTGCGAAAGGCTATTAGTCGCAAGTGTAGTGAATTTCTTTATCGGGGAGGTGGCGGCGATCTTCCCTTGCGAAATGGTGAGATCCGTCGTTCACCTACACATCGGCTGGCAGGGCATTGTTCCAGACGGAGCAACATCTAAGCTCCCTGCTTGTTAAGGCCCCTTCACAATGCAAACGCATATATCATAGACATAAACATTAACATAAGCGATAGACTGAAGTATTCACAATGCCTAACATAAACGTAAGCAAATTTCATGGATAACTTTTAACCAATTAATACTTTATCATATTGTCTCAATGGAATAAAGAGAAAGATAAGCCCTTCACATCAGACGCAAATAAAAAAAGAAAATTACAAGTGAATTATTATTGATTTACCAGTTACTTTAAAGTTAGGGCCATAAGTGCTTGAGTTCAATTTGCGACTTATTATGCAAATGAAATGACAATCTGAAGATTTATTCTAGTCAGAGACGGCTCTGGACGTTAAATAGAACCCAAATAGAAAAATAAAATGGCAGTAAAAATTCAAGAAATGCGTTTTCTTCTGGCTAGTTACTGCTCTTTCATGGTCTCCAACATTTTTGTCGTGGTAAGTAACACTTACACAATTTACTGACGTGTATTATCAGAATAATTAAGAAATCAGAGGTCACATTATGCATCATTTCAACATTATTAAATTATGGAAAGTGCTTGGCAATTTTAGAATACAATAAAGTTTTTACATGCATATCAATTTAAACTTCAGTTTGGCTGAATTGAGAAAAATTACGTCTACGGAAACATGGAAGGCGGAAGCAGCAACACGAAATCAAATTCATTCATTAAACATAAAGTAAATTAATAATTTAAAAAACATTCGTTGGTTATAAATTCCGTTCG